TTTAGAAATTATGCTGGTATCTGCTCCAGTGTCCAATAGACCTTGAAAAGTTTTCCCTTCTATTATCAAACTCATCATAGGGCGTTCTTGCATACCCAATGACAAGAACATATGCTGTCCTCCCGAGGAACCAAAGCCTTTTTCTCCTCGAGTAGTTTTATCACTTGGGAAGTTCTGATGTAAACTGGGTAAGATCAAAAGTTGGGCCACTCTGTCCCCAGGCGAGATGGCACTAATCCCTCTAGGGGAGGAACATAACATTTGAATTTGTCCTGTGAAATCTTGATCAATGACTCCTGGATGAACTTGCAATCCTTTTAAGGTGGCAGATGAGCGGCCAATTATCAGTCCCACTGAACCCTCTGGCAAGGGGCCTGCTAAATCTGAAGGTATAGGCTGACATCCCATTATAGGTGTCAATACTGCTCTGGTGGTGGCACGCAAGTCCAATCCTGCTGATCCGGAGGTTGCTCTCCGGATGGAGTCATCTTCACAAACCCTTTTGATTGGTAGGGTGTCTGCTGGATGGCCCCATACATTTGTCTTGGGCCCTGGGGTCGGGGGCCCCTGTTCCCGTTTTTTGGCTGCTCAGTAGAGCGCTCCGGAAGGGGCCTCCCCTGATTGTCCTTAACAGACCTGCATTCATTTGCCCAATGCTTTCCTTTTTTACACCTTGGGCACAACCCTGGCTGTTTGACAGGCTGAGCATTAGGGGTCGCAGTTGGCGCCCGACACTGCCTTTTCATATGACCCATCTTTCCACAATTAAAACACTTTGCATTTGCAGCCTTCTGAGCTGATAATACCGCAGCTGCGATGCCCTGATTAGACAGTGGACCTCCTATCTCTCTGCACGCTTTCATCCAAGCGTTTATTCCTTTTCCTTTCCAGGGAGTAATGGCATTCCTACACTCCTTGGTACATTGCTCAAAAATTAATTGCTCCACAAACGGTATTGCGCCCTCAGGGTCCTCAAATATTCTTCCTGCTGCTTCCATCATTCTAGCCACAAAGTCTGAAAAAGGCTCTGTAGCTCCTTGTATAATCTTTGTCAAATTTCCGGTAACCTGTCCCTTATTTGGTAAACTCCTCCAGGCACGAACAGCTGCCTTGTTGATCTGTTGGTACACCTCAGCAGGATACATTGACTGATTAACAACCCATTGACCTTGACCTGTAAGCATATCATAATTCCATTGAGGGTGCTGATTAGTTGCATTCTGCCTAGCCTGAGCCATGCATAATTCCTGATAAATTGTTCTCCAATCAAGATATTGACCCATAGAGAGACATGCCTTCACGGTATTATTCCAGTCAGCAGGAGTCATAGCATCAGCAGCTAGCCTCTCTACCAATGCCAAGGTAAAAGAGGCACTGATACCATACGTCTGTACTGCCTCCACCAATGTCTTCAGTTGTTTCAAATCTAGAGGAGCATATTGCCTCTGATTTTGAGCATCTTCCCATACAGGAAATGCTGCTTGTATCTTTCTAACTTCCTTTTCAGGAATGCGTGACGGCCTTCCTCCTGATCCTGTGTGTTTTTCCACTTCCTCATAGGGAGGAGCTGTTGTACTGCACTTAAAAGCTACAGAGCCACGCCTAGGTGAATAAGGCGGGACGGGGCCATATCTCTCTTCCTCATATTTTGCAGCTTCCTCATCTAACTCTGCCTGCTCAGCAGGGTCAAGACCCGACTCCTCAGAGTCAGATGACTCCTGCTCATCCTCCCCTTCAGAAGAAGATGATAGAGTGCAATTTTTGAACTCAGTGAGGAGCGGATATAATTTAGGTTTTTCATCCTCATCTTTTTTTTCTTGCGGGGTTGGTAAGAGTTGCAATCTTTTTGCCTTATCTTCAAGCTCCTCTTCCTTCTTTGCAAGTTGTGCTGCCCTTTTTTCTAACTTAGCTAGCTTGGTTAACACATCCTTGTTCTCATGACTTTTCTTTTCTTTTTTCTTAGAAGGCTTCTTCCTTTTATTAGCCTCTTTATCCTTTTCAGCTTCTGATACACTATCCTGATGGTCTGACAAGACCCGCTGGCCTTCCTTGATCTTTTCCTTGCACCTCTCATCCTTAATGCACGATTTGAACAATTTATACAGTGGCCATACCCCTGGTCTTAGGGTCCCCTGTTCCTTTTCTCGTGTCAGATCCCCACTTAGCTTGCTCCATGATCCTTCCGTAAGGGACCCGGAGAGAACGAACCAGGGAGCCACTCGATCTACTTCTTTGAGAAAGTTCTGCAACACCCGATCTGGGACCTTAAGCTCCTTCTGTTTCAACAGCGCCCGCGCTGCTTCTAGAAGCGGCTTATTCGGATGGTTGCCCATTGCTCCTTTATCTACAGGGGAGGGTGTGGCAACTCAGTTATCCACTTGAGGATTACAGCCAAATTATGCAGTGTCGCAAAAAGGACGAATACAAACCGTATCCCGTTTCCCACAATTAAGACACAGACAACAGAAAAGAACGAAAACGAGACTAACAACGAGAAACGGAATCACCCAGACCACAGAAATCATACCTTGCTGAAAAGTCTCCGGAGTTTCTCAGGTCACTGGCTTGGATCCTCTTTCCGACGAGCAGTCGGGGTCCTCAAAGCTGTCCCTCTACCCGGGTTCGGCGGCTTCCCGGGTTTCGGCACCACTTGTCGCGCGCAGCCTTCGCCGATAAGGATGACGCGGCAACCGAGGAGTGTCCAGCAACAACTTTATTGTTACAGCTCTTTTAGCAGATGGTGAAGGAAGGACCCAGTTGTGCTCTGCTTAAATAGCCAGTCAAGGCGACGTGTTCGTCTGTGATTGGTGCTCCACACAAAACCTGATTAGCATATGATCCCTAATTGGAGGACCACATAAGCCTACATAAGCATAAGGTGGCACATGCGCAGATCGCAAAGCCTTTGGCGGGAACCGCTCCCGCCAAAGCAATGCTGGCAAGAAGAACCAGGAAGCAGGAGACCGGCGCCACCTTGTAGTGGCGGGAGCGGCTCCCGACACCCAAGGCTCTTTCTGTAAAGGAGAAAAAGAATGCATCTCTAGTAAATCTAACCAAAGGTTAAACATTTTAAAAAAATGCTTAATGTAATGGCTCAGTGTCCATTGCGGAGCCTGACATTCCATTTCTCAACTACATAGCAGCATCTTACTGCTTTGATTTGAATGAGCTGAGCACTTAGTGCTTTTTTTAGATGACACAAACACATGATCTCTTAGAGTAAATAATCACTAGAAATGAATTGCAAGTTTTAAATATTTAAAACATAGCTAGTTTATACACTTCCAGAAAAATCTTCAAAGAACACTATTTTTCCTAATAACAGCATGCAAATTGCCTGACCCTAGCCTACTCTCACTATCATTGTCTAATAGGCTCAAAACCCAAACATAGCTTGGTATGGCTGTACACACACCTTTAATCCAAGTACTCAGGGAGGCAGAGATTGGCAGTTCTTGGTGAGTTCAAGACCAGTTTGATCTATATAGCAAATTCTAGGACAACCAGGGCTATAATAGTGAGATCCTGTCACACACACACACACACACACACACACAAAAACATACCTAAGTCCATCTTAAAATTCATCAAAAAAAAAAAACCCCACACATTTAGAAGAATAAAAGCACATAATTATAAAAATGACAACACTTCCAGAATGAATTATCATTAAAACTTAACCTGAACAGAACACCAACAGCACAGGCTCTAAGATCAACAATCAATAAATGAGACCTCATGAAACTGAAAAGCTTCTGTAAAGCAAAGGACACTGTCGTCAGAACAAAATGACAGCCTACAGACTGGGAAAGGATCTTCACCAACCCTATATCTGACACTGACAGAGAATATGCAGAATATATAAAGAACTCAAGAAGTTAACTAGCAAAAAATCAAGTAACCCAATTAAAAAATGGGGTACAGAGCTAAATCTAAAGAGGACTATCAAATGGCAGAGAAACCCTTTAAGACTGCTCAACATCCCTAGTCATCAGAGAAATGCAACTCAAAACAACCCTGAGATTTCACCTTACACCCATCAGAATGGCTACAATCAAAAACTCAAGTAAGAACACATGCTGGAGAAGTTATGGAGTAAGGGAAACCCTCTTCCATTGCTGATGGGAATGTAAATTTGTACAACCACTATGGAAATCAATCTGGCACTTTCTCAGACAATTAAGAATAGTGCTTTCTCAAGATCCAGCTATACCACTCCTAGGCATATATCTGAAACATGGTCAAGTATACAAGAAGGACATTTGCTCAACCATGTTTGTAGCAGCTTTATTTGTAATAGCCAGAATCTGGAAACAACCCAGATGTCCCTCAACAGAGGAATGGATACAGAAATTGTGGTACATTTACACAATGGAATACTACTCAGCAATATTAAAAGCAAGGAAATCATGAAATTTGCAGGTAAATGGTGGGAACTAGAAAAGATCATCCTGAGTGAGTTGTCCCAGAAGCAGAAAGACACATATGTCATATACTCACTTATAAATGGATATTAGATATATAATATAGGATAAACATACTAAAATCTGTACACCTAAAGAAGCTAAGCAAGGAGGAGGACCCTGGGTAAGATGATCAATCCTCATGCAGAAAGGCAAAGGGGATGGACTTTGGAAGAAGGAGAAAACAGGAATCAGGACAGGAGCCTACCACAGAGGGCCATTGAAAGACTTTACTGAGAAAGGTATCAAAGAAGATGCTGAGACTCATAGCCAAACTTTGGACAGAGTACAGTGAATTTTATTAAAGAAGGGGGAGATAGGAAGACCTGGAGGGGACAGGAGCTCCACAAGGAGAGCAACAGATCAAAAAATTCTGGGCACAGCAGTCTTTTCTGAGACTGACACTCTAACCAAAGATCATTCATGTAGATAACCTAGAACCCCTGCACAGATGTAGTCCATGACAGCTCAGTCTCCAAGTAGGTTCCCTAGTAATGGGAAAAAGGACTGTCTCTGACATGAACTCAGTGGTTGGCTTTTTGATCACTAACCCCTGAGTGGGGAGCAACCTTACCCGGCCACAGAGGAAGACAATACAGCCAGTCCTGATGAGACCTGATAGGTTAGGGTCAGAGGGAAGGGGAGGAGGACCAATCAGTGGACTTGGGGAGGGGCATAGGGGAGAGACAAGGGCAGGAGAGTGGGATTGGGAGGGGATGAGAGAGGGAGCTGCAGTGGGGACACAAAATGAATAAACTGTAATTTATAAAAATATAAATAAAATTTTTAAATGTGAAAAAAAAACTTAAAATATACTGGAGTCAGCGGATTATTAGACTAGAAAAGGAGGACTTGAAGTTGGGAAATGGGTGGTAAGATGGAGGCAGACCTGAGAAAAATTAAGGGGGTGAGTTGGAATTAATATGACCAAAATACATTATGTGAAATTCTCAAAATAGGAATAAAGATGTTTTTAAAGAACGAAAGGAAAAGAAACCTAGAAAAAATGAAAATATTGATATTTATGCTATTCAATGTTCTAAATAAGTTAAATCAACACAGTATCTTTTTGCTATTAAAAATGAAGTCGTATTCAGTCTTTCAGAGCATTCTTTTGTACCATCAGCTGATAGGAAAGCACCCACATACACACATACCAAGAAAAAAAAAATCACATTTGAATTTTTATAGGCCCTAAATAGAGACTGAAAGTAATAGTGAGAACTACTATGCCAAGGTTAAAGGCCCATTTCTACCCTCAGCTTTCAGGTTCGAGGATCCTAGAACTAATTCTGAGTTGTGAAATTGGAGTCTGTCCCCAGCCAGAGTGGTAAACTTAATGCATCGTTAATTGGGGCTGCTCTCAGCCGCCAAGTGAAATAGTCACAGCCATTCGATTTTTAAGGGAAGACAGTGCAGCAGAAGCGCATTGTAGAGGTCTTTTCATAAAAGCCATCCCGTGTGCTCCATCTGCACGTGCAATCTGCTTGTGTGTTTTCAGCCAGCTTGCACGGGCAGATTAATGCGCACAATTAGAAAGCAACCTCACAGGCATTCAATAAACGGCCTTCATTATTACACTCAGGAGAGTGCCTTTGGTTGTCAATAAAAGCCTAGTTTTCTGCCTGTTAGCTAAATAATTGACAACACTAAAAATAATCAGAAGTAAATGAACGGAGTCAGGAACAAGGTGTGAAGGAAGAACACTTTAGGATGCTCCGGGGGTACCTAGGGTGGCCGCCATGTGCCCTTTCTCCATTTCTCCAGCAGCTGGATTTACAGTCCGCTCAAGTCCGCGGCTGCCCTTCTCAGCAGCAGAAACACATTGTTCCTGGTCTGCTGTTTGCACCACACATCACCGCATGCTGAAACTGGCGAGGTATCGACTCATTTGAAAGAACTGCTTATTTGGTTTCTAGGTTGTGTTCCCTTGCCTGACAGCTTCAAGAGACTCTCGTTTGGCTCTGGGAGGCAGATGGTCTGGTGGGTTAGGTGGAATCTTTGCACTGTTAGGATTCAACAGCTTTGCTAGACCTTTTTTTTTTTTTTTTTTTTTTTTTTTCTTTTTAATTTTGTTTTTTAAAAATTTTATTATATTTTTTTTTTTTTTTTTTTTTTTTTTCACCTGCTAAAAACTGGTTCTAAGAAAGTGCAATAAAGACTTTTCTATAGAGGATCCGTCTTTTCAAAGAAGTTCCTCTAATATTTTCAGCTATAGTATGGCCATTCGTTTTATCAGCTATTGGTCTCTTAATTTCAAAAGTAATTCAAAACATAATGTTCTTAAAAGAAAAAAAAATTCCTTACATATCTATACTTTTTGTGTTACTCAATAGGCTTTAAAAATCAATTTGAGATACTTCTTGGGGTTTTTTTTGCCAACTTCCCTTTTTTTCCTGGCTAACGGGGACTTTCATGATAAGCAGGAGAGAGAGCAGGAGTAAAATGTGCATGTAATTGAATTCACGAGTGAAGTGGCTGACAGCAAAGCCTTCTTTTCTTCTTTACAGAATAAGGGTGATTGATTTTTAGCATTTAGTAAAACACAAACTCAAGAAGCTGGGGTACTTTGAAAAGAGAGGAAGCTGGGTAGAACAGCCTCCCACCTTTGAAAACTCCAGGAATTTCTCCTCCTACACCTTGCCCTGTCTCAAACTCAAAAGAAGAACTCAACTTCCCCCGCCCTGACCTTAACTCGGTGAAGAGCAATGCACAGGATTTGGGAATTTTTCTATTCTTGCCACTGAGCCTGAACACTACTTGACAGAGGCAGGCTGAGCCCGGTGCTCCAAGAATGCTAGACTTAGGGAGAAGGCACACTCTTAAATGTCTTATTCACGAGCAGCTCAGTATCTGAGCGATCCCCAGAC